CGGAGTTAATGTTGCTATTAAATCCAAAGGCAAGCTGAGAGGAGGAGCACACGGAGCAGAGGTGTTTCCAGCACCGCACAAAATCTTCTTACAATACTTAGTGCAATGCCTACACAGATACTGCTATGTATATCCACTTCTAAAAAAATAGCAAGGGCCCACTAAAACATCAAAGAAACTCCTGCCACAAGATGTTATCATAACAAACTAATGTATTTTCAAACTTTGCAACAGGTAGCTGTTAAAAATGCATGTCCCACACCGTAATGTTAAACCTCGTACGTGGGGTTTAATTGAGTGTAACCAAGTCAGGGCATTTGAACGTAGGTGTCTCTTTTAGCAAATAAATAAATAAATAAAACCGCACGGCTTTGCCAGCACAGATGGTCAGAGACCGGGTCTGTGCCCTCTCTTTTTCCTCACATTTGAAAATTTGATCCTGAAAGCCTGATTGTGGATGCTGGAGCCAATGCCACCAGTCTGCAACTTGTTTCTGTAAAGCCACCGATGCAAAAGTGGGGAAAAGGTGGAGTTACGAAGCCCTTCTCCAGACCAAGCGTCACAGAAAGAATTCACTTTGTAGAGGATGCTCAGAGTTATCTGCAAAGCTGCTCTGAACTACTTCATTGCCAGACATTTTGGCATGCCATTTCTCCAGAGACTGACTTTCTGTGAGAGCTGGTGGAGCCCAGGGCTGCCCATGCCTTCTAGGTGATCCCAGGCACGCTTCCTCTGGCGCGAGACCTAAAAAAATCAGACCTGCAAATAGCACTGTAATCCCAGCTAGAATTAAAACTGAGCTTTCCCCAGCGCAGCTTCCTAGTTCGCGCAGAGGGGTCAGGCAGCCCTTACAGCTTCTAGAACTGAGTGTGCTTAGGTCCAGCCTAGCTTCATCTGCTCCTCCCGTGCCTTGCCCCTAGGGAAGCCCAACTACGCCCTGTCCGTTCCACCCCGGATTGCTGTTATTTTCCACGTAGTGGGTACTAGCCAGCTGACTGCCTGCATGGTAAGGCATCTGCTATAACACCTTGAATCTCTATACAGCACTAAGGAGTAGTTTGAAAGCCTTCATAAAATTGTAAGCAGATAGTTTAGACATGTTGATGAGAAGAGAAGGTTTTATTGTGACGTGACTGACAGTCTCCGTGAAAGGTATTTACAGTCTGACTCTTATTACTAAAAACACCATGACAGGTAGAACTTGATGTGGATGTATAATGGGGAGACAATGGGAAATTATGACAAAAAGAGCTCATTAAACATTTCACTTTTTTAGAACAGTTAATTTCACACACAGAACTGCAATTTCTAAGTGGAGCATCTACCACTTAACATAAGCTTTTTGGGGTAAGCTTGCTTTCTTTGTCTGGCTTGATTTCTATTCTCAGTGAACAGAAAATAAGAGAATTGGTCTAAGGAAGGAGCAGAGAGAAAACAGGAATGAATACAAGAAGCGTGAGCTTATACAGAGGAAGAGAGAGATACTGGGAGGATACTGGCTATGATGGAAAATGTGTTTGGAGCGGAGCTGCACGCTTGGCAGAGGGAATGTACAGGAGAGTAGGATTTGCTGGGGAGGGATGCAGCAAAGAGATGGGAAAATACAAGAATTATATTGAATAAGCAATCCTTTCATCCCAATGTCAGAGAAGTGACTTGGCAACCAGCCACCACTCATAATTGAGTTCAGTGGATACGGTCAAATTCTGAGATCCGAGACTCATTCCTTTCCGCCTCATTTCCACCGTATTTGCATTACTTGAGATCAGAGATCATGAGGAGTCGCGTTGTAAAGTACTTGGACACCTTCTGACAAATGGCCTCACACAACGGCACAGAGTTGCGCATGTACATCGGCTATCTCGATGCATATACAACGTTGAATAGTTCTGCTTCGTGGCGCTACCAGGAAGATGCTTTGCACCTTCAGCGCCAGTGGGATCCCACATGCACAGAGAAAGCAGTATTTGCGCAATCTGTCCTGGTTTCTTAAGAAGCTACGTCTTATTGAAAACCAGTATGAATTATACTTCCCAGTTTCAAAGTAACCTTTGGAAAAAGGATCCCAGCTTTTAGTTTTTACACTGTGGTAGATCTCACCCCACCTAAGCCTAACTATTTAGATGTTATCATACCTGCAAGTCATTTAAAGTTCCTCTGCAGCCACGAAAAATGATGTCCAGACATACATTCATTTCCATCTGAGAGGGACACCTCACGCAGACAGGAGGAATTTCCCCGTGAAGTGGCTATTTCTCTCCACCGGCTACAGAGAGGCAAGGACGGAGGGCACCTAGATGACTACTTCAGTATTCCTCACTTTTAAGTGCGGAGACTAGAGGTAACTTGCCTGAGAACAATCCCAAGATGGAAAACCGATCTCTGCCCAGGGAACGTGAGCAATACTGTCTGAACTCAAGCAAAACTTGCTGCATTTTTATTAAGTGGTGTATTTATTGTCAGGAGAGAAAATTCATGGTGCCTGAAACCTATCAGGAGCTAGAAAAAGTTTCTCACTTTATTCATCCATTATGAAATTAATGAAAGCAAGATCTCCTAATAAAGAAAGTGTCCTTATATGTTTAAACCAGGTAGATGAGCTAGATTATTTGCCCTCAGATTGAATTTTAGAGGTTTATATAATAATGACAGCTATAAATTGAAAAAAAATTATGGCAAGCGTCTCAAAGACGGAGAGTCTCAGATGTGGAAGGGTGAGCAATAAATCAGATGGGCAGTGGAATATTAAATTGCTAATTTTAAGAGCTATTGCTGCTTTTCTTTTTTTTTTTCTTTTAATACATCCTAATATAAAAAGGTGAAACAAAATCTCAGCTACATATTTCTTCCTCTCCTGGTTCCCCCCCCTCCCCCCATAAATTAAAGTACGTAACTTCTTTGGAGAAAAAGCTCTAATCGCTTTAAATTTAACCATGAAATAGCAAAAAAATTAAGTCTGCAACCAGCTTCACGGAGATGACAGATTAAATATATTTGATGATTACAGAGTAGGTTCCATATGCCCTATATCTCACAGTCATGCTCTTTACCAGGACAGTCTAATACCAAAGTGTCTGCAGACATGATTGCAAGTGCACTGTACACCCAGTCATACTGCAACGACCTAAATTACAGACTGTACCCAGAGTAAATTTGAAACATCGCTGAAGGAATAATAAAAAAGTCACAGGACACACGCAGCAGAAAAATTGTAACACCAAGCTATATGAGAAATGAGTGAAAAAATCTACAGCTATTCTGTGCTCACAAATACCTTTATTAGTTATGCAACTTGAGTTATTTTACTAGATTTTCCCAGGCAACACGATGATGCCTCCCCCACTCCTAGTGGCTTATCATGAAATATTTATGGCAAGTTTTGTTTGTTTGTGCAAACCACGGAAGTGTCACAATTCAGGCCCCCATCCAGCCCCTCCCCAGCATTTATCTTTTTTATTCGACATCTCAAGCTCCATGCTCGGCCCAAGCTGTGCAAGTTACCGCATCCTTAGGCGAGAGGAGTCTCTCCCTCTCTCTTGAATACAGGCATTTTCCCCATGCTTACAGCAGACTGAAATTCCTGACCTTTTCCTTTGTTTTTCTCCATTCTCACAGAAATCCTCAGTACTACTAATTTTCCATGTAACCAACGCAATCGAATTACTTCTCGAGTTATCTATAGCACAAATATATATTAAACAGTGTAACCCACCCTTCGATAAATGCATGCCTTGTTGCTAAGGCATCTGTCACTGCACTGCTGCTCTCCGCCACTTGTTACCATTCCTTCTACGTTCTGGGGAGAAATGCCTCACCTCTTCAAAACGCTAATACACCAAAAGGGAATGGTGCCATTTGGACACAACAGCTTATTATCCCTATTTTTTTAATATTCTACTGTCCATGTGAGGCATAGGGCAGAAAGAATTAAGTTGACAGTCTATATTGACCCGTAGCCTCTTGTATACTTAGAGCACTACAGAAATAATACCTAGCAATAATGGGAGGAAATCTCCTTGTGCTGATTACAGCCCACAATAACCAGGAAAGCAATGCAATACACAGAGAAAAAATTCTGCCAGTCAGGAATTTGTTGAGTGAGGTCTTTTTGCACACTTAATCTTGATGTAGTTCCTCTCAAGAGTTTCCCACAGTTGTTTAAACTAATGGCAACTGCACATATCTCTGCCCTACAACTCTACGGCTCTTACTAAGCTACCATAGAAGTTGGTCTTATTGGAAAAATAATCTCTTTTCAATGGTGTATGTTAGGTTGGACTTTGATCTAACTTGTTTGTTTGGTGGTTGTTTTTTTTTTTCAAAATGACTGAAAAATAATTCTAATGCAAATTCCCATTTTTTTGGTAACATTTGATTTGAAGTTCCTTATGAAATCTTTATCTACCAGCACACTGTATTCACCAGAAAGTCTTCTGAGAGGTGTTGACATTCTAGCTGCAGAAAATCACTGTAGAAGTCGTGATGTTCTGACATACCTTTTCCTAACGCTACTTCTCTCGACCTCCACTCTATCCAGAGCTTGGCTCCCCTGCTGTCCTGCTAAACCAAGCTGTAAGGAGCACAATACCTAAAGTACAGTTCTGATACAGAGCACACAGGGGAGAAAATGCAGCCCAGGCTCCCTCAGAGCGATAAGCCTTGTACAGCATTGGGTAATAGAGGAACCCTTCTAATCCAGGCAGCAACGATTCATGCATTAACATGCAGAAGGCTCATTGTCGACTCTTAACCACAGATAACACATTTATAAGTGGCGATTTTCATAAGAATGAGTCTGAAAACACGGAAAGGAGATTTAAGTAATGATGAGATGGATATAGGCGACATTACAATCCCCGTTACTCTGAACCAACCCAATCAACCCATCACACATCACTAATAGAAGTCCTATCACGAGGAATGTACCAAATGTTACCTACAATAATGGAAGTCACAGAAGAACATCTTCTTTACTGCATATAAATAGGGGAGATACTTACACTTACAGGTTGACTTTTTGGCACATCATAAACACCTTCCTTCTTTTGGCTGGTAGGAACCTGCGACAGCAAATGAAAATAAAGTTCATTACCCAAGCAGGTTTGATGAAGTATTGAAATCTGCAAACGATATTTAAGTACAGGGTAGTCATTTAATACTAATGAAGTCAAGGATGGTTCCCTTTTCATTCAAACAGTAATGTTAATGGAGACAATACTGAAGAAATAAAATATCTATCCGATTTTTTTTAATCCTAAAGCCCAGTAGTGTTCAGAAATGAGATTTTCATTCTCAGTTAAGTTCAGTTGCATTAAGTCTAGGTGCACTTGGATCTCCTTCCTACTTAAATGGTTGGTTTTTTCATTTTACTTGGAGGTTAGAAGATGCACATGGAAGTCATGATCAGGTCAGTATGTCATCTTCCTCCATGGCAGAGATCCAGATTAGAGCTACCAATCTGAGGGACAGAGGTGTTTGGCTGATGGCATTAGATTTCTTCTTTCCAATTAATTTAATAATCTAAGTCAAGTAAGTCATAACACGTACCCCCCGCAGTGATGGGGCCCTGCGGCTGCTCTAAGCAACATTTGGTTACAATTCTGCGATTTTACTAAGGAATTACCGGCCTGTCAGAGTCTGAGGCTGCACAACCACTCACACAGCCGGGGAGCTGAAGTCGCATGGACAGGGGGTGACACACTTAAAAAACTTTGGGCGAGTCTTTAGTTGAGTCAACAGTTGTGATTTACACCTTGGGCATTTATAGCCCACTCACGTAAATTCAGTTGCTTTGCAAGACCGGGCTTTGCTTGCCTAAGGACAGCTGGTTTACATATTTATAATTTGTGATAATATTTCTTTTCCTTCCTAGAAGCACTGAACATCTATTGTAACTGACACAAGCAAAAAAACCGGTCAAAACGTGCTCTAAACTGGCACGGATGCTCTAAGGAAATCAGTGCTATTTTTCCACTGAACAAGGGCATTCGGCATAAGAAGGTTACATTTCAGACATCAATGGATCCTCCCAGGTCAATAGGAGAAATAATACTGCAGCTATGACAAAATGATTACCTTTTTGTTTTCTAAGACAATAAATATCTTAGAGGTCTGATATTAGAGTAGGACTGGTTTAGGGGAAGCTGAAGGAATGCTGGTTATTCATTGAGATGTGCTATCATTTCTTATTTTGTATAATATATCAAAAACTCTCTCCACTGTTCAAACATTCTCTTGCCTGTGTTTAAATGTCAAAGTCTTCATGGGAAATTGTGTATCTTTAACATGGTGCACGCTGCAGAAGTTTTTCCAGAGCACTGCAGAGGCACGAGCACAGAACCCTCCCAGAAACTGAAGCAGCTTTTTAAAAGATCTCTTCTATTCCTATCCCGGGAATGACTTGCTTGCCTTGGTCTTCTCAAAATACTGGCCACTTCCACTAAAACCACTTATCACATTAGATATGTGAAACTGGTAACAGTGGAACAATTCAATTTCATGGCAATTTCTGTAAGGAGAGAGCTTTAAGTGACAGTGTAAGAGCAGAAACCAAGAATGGTCTATTTAGTAAGTCACTGGAAAGCTTAGTTTTCATAAAAAGAGAACGAATGTGGTAAGATAAACTGTTTATCATTAGGGTGCATTTTGCTTTTCTCTCTGGAAAGTTTCCCCTTCAGTCATTCTCCTCTTTCTCCTTCCAACTTTTCTATAGTCATCCCAATTTGCACACTCCTATCCACAGCTTCTTGTGGACCGAGCACTTCCCTGCACTATCGATCCCCCCTTTTTTACTCCAGCTTATGATAACGTTAGAGAAAAGCTCCTCACTTCCAATATCAAGACAGAGAAACTTTTCTGAAAGACATTTTTGTCTCCCAACTCGGTATCGCTTGTCTTCCTGTTGTCCTTACTTGCCATGTATCATCACGCTTTTTTGCATCGCTACTTAGACTGGAGGTCTGCAAGGAATTTCTCTCGTTTTTTTTCTTTGATTAGGACTATCAGCAAAAAGGTACCAGCACGACTGCTGCCGACAGCTCTGGCTCTGAGACAGGCTGTGAACCATTTTGACGTACTTGCATCTTACCAGCAACACAAGCACCGCGACTCGGAACTCCCCGTCTCAGATTGTCAACTCCTGACGGAGCAGAACTTGCCTCTCCATAGAGACCAACAAAAACACCTAACAAAATCCCATCCCCACTCACTACCATAAAACAACAGACAGGGAGAGAGATGTTATTAAGAAATCTGCCACTAGCAGAGAGAACTGGTACATGCTCAGTGATCAAGTCCTTGCCTAACTAACACATTAGGGCAACTTAGGGAGACAGACAACATTAAAAGAGCAGACAGACACAGACAGTCTTTGGGGTAATGTATCAAAGAAAGGTGACAGACAGAGAAAGAATGCTTAAAAAGAAAACTGTGACCTCTACTATACTAAAAAGAAGCAGAAACTGTCACATTTGGCACTTATCTTCCACCTCCAGCTACCCACTGGGTAGGAATCTTTCCCACCAAGGGAGAAGCGAATTCTTTGCGTACCAGCTCTTGGTTGAAAAACCAGAGCAGCACCAGAAGAAAGACTTGGCAAGGCTGAAGCGAGGAGGCATGAGGTTACTGAACAGACATATTTACCAAAGTGTAGTATGGGGAAGGCTTTGTAAAAATAATAGAATCTGGCACCAATTTGCATCAAACTAATGTCACGAAAAGCTTCACATTTTGATGAACAACATCAGAATTTTTTTGTCTGAATGTAGTTGTCATGGGATTTTTGTTTCTAGCATAAAGCTGACATCTAGAGTAGTATTTTTTTAACAGATTGCTTTCCTGAAAATAGTCAAACTTTCAACACTATGCGGTAAAAAATTTTTAACCTTAGGCGTACTCTCACCTTGAGAGCTTTGCATGTCTTGGGCTAGAGATGCAGAGAGACGCATGTTCTAGTCTGTGTGGCAGAGTGCCAGGAAATCAACACAGACAGGTTAAATGAATCTCATCTTAATGACCTTGTGATGGGGTCTATAAAATGGTTATTTTCTAATGTTCAACTTGCATTTCCCTTTCCCAATTAGCTTTTTCCGACTTCGGCTTACAGCTACTCTACCCTTTCATTTTTTCTATTATCGTCCTACCTTTTCTCATTACTTAAAAAAAAACCCTTTTTTTTTCTTTTGTTCTATCCTTGCTCCTGTCTACCTTAAAAAAGCTTTTCCTATTAGCAGATCAACCTCTAGTACAGCTAGATGAAATGCTTAATCACTGTTTGAATCTCCTTCCCCTCCATACTAAACGATTTCCTGAAATCACAATTTTCTTACAGCATACAGAGATTTCTGTCTATCTCCAGATTTGCCTCTAGTATGTGATACAAAATGAATTACATTATATTTTAATAAACCCTGTACTGATCCCTCGAGGATAAATTGAACGACAAAAGATTATTTTATATTGCTTTCAATGCAATTTTTATTCAGTGTGAAGAATGCAAGCTTGGGCTCTAACATAACACCTGCACTCTGAAAATCTTATCCCCAGTCTGGGAGATATCCATTTAGAGGTCTTAGGTTTTGCTCAGTTCTTGCCTTGGTTAGCCAGAAAGAAGAGCAGTACCATCAAAATGTCTTTCTACAAATTGCTTGGATGGTCTGCCCTCCATGAGATTTAACTATCTGTTTCTTAGAATAGGTGTAAAAAGTTTCAAAAGATAAACAGAAAAAGAGAATCCACTATTTGTCACTTTACATGGTGTACTGAAAAGTTTAAGGCCCTTCATAAGTTGACAAAGTTAATAAAATTTGCAGAAGCTGAAATGACAAACAACAGAAGAATCACACTGAGACCGGGCAGATTATTCATGTCATGTCATCAGAATGAAATGCCAGACATTTTTGTGATGAAAGAAAACTAGTAAAAGCGAACCATATATGAAATGTACTTTACTAAATGCTTGCAATCGTTGCAATGAAAACACCGACGTTAGCGATTTTATACCTGATAAATGTTTTCTTCCGTTTCAGGCTCACGGATTGGCTCGTGTCCAGCCTCAAACACAATGTACTATTACACCAGCCGCCAGAGAGGAAAAGTCAGAGATGAAACAGAAGGGAAAAAGGCGATTTGGAATCCCACGTAAAAACACAGGCAGGCATTAAAGAAACAAGTTCAAAGTACAGGCTGGCAGCAGGACAACCCGTTTGTTGGAAAGCACAGAGTAAGGTTGGTTTGTATTTCATAAACTGGCAATGAATAGACCTAAATCTCCACTAATGATCATTACAGCAACTTCCTAATTCTTTCTCACCAGGGAGACCGCCTGTGGCCCAATATTAATTTTCTGCAGTCAACGTGAATTTTGCCTCTTTTACATAATGGCAATTATTTCCACATATATTTATTATCTATGAATAAAAAAGCTAAATCCAAACTGGGAGAATAAGCTGGTGCTCATGTAACGGGCCACATGGCAAAAGGCTGTCACAACACTTTTATTTTTCAGGTTTCTGCTTTATTGTGAAGAGCACAAAGTAAAACTCCTGACATTATAAAAGCTGAATAGTAATTTAGGGCATCCTAATTCTTATCATCTTTCTTAGGCACTGTTCAGTATTCACTAATGGTTGAATCAGTTTCTTTCAGTGTGCTTCCCACTGACATGCCTAAGTGGAAGAACACAAAATCTCCAAGAAAAAAAAAAGTAAACTATCACATATTGTTTCAGCATAAAATCATGAGAATGAAATTACATCTTTTTCTTCTTCACACTCAGTAGTGTATCGGACATGAATATATTGACATATTTCTGATAATCACCCTTGCTCCCAGACATTTTGCTTGGATGAAACAACACTTAAATTTCAGATCTATTATTAAATCACAGACCAAATGCCAACAAGGGAGTGTGTTATAACATGAATTCCACTGTTGGGTTTTTTTCCCCCACATATTCACCATCTGAATTATATTCTGGCCCCATAGAAGCCAAAACCAAAATGTCATTTTTTACTACCAGAACAAGATGTCACCTTCCTTATTCTCAAAGTAACGCCCTTTTCAGTTAGTTTGTATTAAAAAATTATGACAAATCTCATTTTGAAACTTAAAATCTAGACTCACAAGCTATATTTTAGAAAATTTTTAATCCAATATTTCTATATAGAAATATTGTGCTACTACTTACAGCTTAATATCTAAATATACTACTTTCTGTAAAAATCTCACAAGTTTCTCAGAAGACCTATCTCAGTAAATTTCAAAACATCTTGTTAAAGGTTTTGGCTGTGGGTGAATATAACATATATCTAACCATTTCTGAAACTCCAAAGCCGTACAGCTTCAGAAATTACCTGGTATACAGGATCTTCTACATCTTCTTCCAAAATTGTCTACAGCAAAGTAAGAGGACAGGCAGTAAAAGCAAAGAACATAAACAGTAGAGATAAAAGAACTATATTCAGAAATTAAAGGACAGCAAAGGAATAAGCAAAATGGGCAGGTATGTATATAGTTTTCTTTCTTTAGTATACAGATAAAGTCACGTTATTGTACAAAGTAACTTTATTCAAGTTTCATCCGAGTTTAACAATCTGCACCTTATTTGATTCGATTCAAACACACACATTCAGAAGTATATTTAATCTTCCCTAAAGTATCAGACACTTAAAAACCTGACTTACAACACACTGACCTTCATTAACATTTTCCTCCTGAATGAGAAGAAACGCTACGTAGGAAATGAATGGATCATTTCCAGTTGCTAAACACGTTCATCACACCCCAAGTGATAGCTTTCATCACTGTTTAATCCTACCGCTGAGCTCACGGTGGCTGTTGGGTTCGCATTTGTCCATTTGAAGCTAGCACCGTTCAAACCCATTGCTGTTAAGAAATGCTGAGGATGCTCAGTGCCTCTTTGGAGCAACTTTTTGGGGGGATACTTCAAACCATACTTTTCTTGGCAGTAGTCTAAGCTTATGCGTGTACCTGGTATACCGCTTGTTCACACTGTTTGTCCTTTTGTGCCTTTTTTTCCATTTCTTCCCTTTGTTTCAGTTCATAGATGAGCTGAAACAAGTCTCGCAAGTCCAGAATTACAGGTTCGGCCTATGGAAACAAAAACAGGAAGGAAAGTTTCCCTATGGGAAAATATACACCTCTTATCCCATCCCGCTGGTAGAGCAGTTACAGCATCTCCACCATTGGAGGGAACTCCATACAGAATTAATTTCTACCTTTGCATCCAGGCTCGAGTTAATTGCTATCAAACTAACTCTATTTGCAAATTAATGATAAGTATAATTATGACTATAAAAGGCATATATATGAATATTAAGCCATATTTATTAGTGGTTGCTCATACAATGGAATTACGGTAGACTATATGCAAAGTAGCTATTTGGTATCTATCACTTTCAGTTTAAATGAGTGTAGGAATAAAACCAAATTTATCTGTATCCAGGCTAGTTTAGTTACAAAGGAAACCAGTAACTGATTATAAAAAAATACATCATGAAAAATCAGAAACGGTGAAACATATTCCCTTTCTCCCAAGCTGGTTTCATTAATTTGCTACTTAAGAACACCGAAGCAGACATTTGTGACAATCGTAAACAATACAAGGTTGGCCTCTTGAACAGCTTCTTATGAACACGGCTTTTCTACTGAGGTACGCTGTAGAGAATGACAGTGAGCTGATACTTACCGCCTGGGCTGTTTTTATTGCCACAAATCTATGATTTCCCTCCTTTCCACATACATATCCAAACGCTCGATGGTCGGTGATATCCTTTGCAATGTATGAAATTTCATGAACTGCATGGTGGTGCTGTAGTAGCTATTAAAGAAAACACAGTAAGAAATATCCATCAACATCTTCCATTAAAAAGCTGTACGATTTCTCTTACATCAGTGCTTTACCTAGATCTCTGTACACCTACGGAATTAAACCAAACAAACAGAACCTGCTATCAGAACCAATTAATACCTGAACTCTTTAGGCCTATTCTCTTTTCAAAAATCTAACCAAAGTTGACTTGCTTTAATCATTTGACTAAAAGCTTCAATAGAATATTTTTCCTGGTATCTTTTGGTGAGATATAATTCAACAGAAAATATCATGTTACCTAGTTACTACCAACACAGCATCCCAGGTACAGAATCAATATTTGTAGGGATATAAAAGAGGCGGCAGCAGCCGTCTGGAGCTTCGCACAGGGCGAGCCTGAGGACAGACGGATCTGCAGGGGCTGCAGAGCTGGAGCTGAGGTGCCCAATTTCTCTAAGAATCGGCACCAGACTTGCTCTATCTCTGCAACACTCAGCATCAGCCAACAAGTGATGTTTCATTTAAAGCAGTAACAGAGCTCCAAAAATTTATTTTTCCCAGAAAATTCACGGAAATGTAATTCTCCAACTTGAAATCAATGCTAAATACAAAAGTTCACAATTTATTTAAAATCCCACTTTGGTTAAGTATAATAATAAAAAGATTCAATTTTGTTTTAAATGGATGAGCAAAACTCTCCCCAGAGCCAGGACATGAATCTGAGACTCCTACAAGCATGGCTCAGAGTGCCAGTGTCTTTCTCCCTTCAGCCTACACAGTATTTTATTACCAAAGTAATATTGAAGTATTTCTATTTAGAATAATGTCCTTGAAAAGTTTATCTAAAACAATGTATTAGTATCAATTTCTACCTTCTGATGTATTAACCTGCTCTTATATCATCTAGGGATAATACTATTTCTGAGAGCAGGCAAAGCCTCACAAAGAATTCTTTTGAGGTCCAGCTTCCTGCTGGTTTTGAGAAAAGCACATTTTGAAAATCAGCATGGTATCCAGGCAATCTCTAAACAACCAGTTATTTTTAGAGTTTAAGAAAAAACATTTTAAAATTCAAAACCGGAGAGGATGCATGTGCGTAGAAGCGAAAAGGCTGAGCGCGTGCAGGGCAAGTGACAAGCGATGAGGCTTCAGTAGAACACGGATTGAAATTTAAAAGGAGAGGCAGCATGCAAGAGACAGATGACTACATATAAAACAAAAGACTGGACATTTTTCATTTTCATTTCACAGTAAATGACTCCTAACTTCCCAAAATCAAGATTGCTTGCTCGTAGGAAAATGCAAGTGTTGCCATTGACTTCAGGCTGAACGGGGCTAAGCTGAAGGTGTGCTTCACACTCTCCCAACCTGTTAGGCGTTTAAAATTAATGATGGGATCTTACTTGGATAATACAGGGATATTGATTTATTAGGTTTTTCTGAAAACCAAGTTGCATGCTATATGTTACAATGAAATGAAACGTTCCCATCTCTCTGTTCTGCATATGACAGAGAACGTTATCTCTGGCTTCTATTAAATCAAAGTTCTTTGACATTGCTTTATTGATTGTGAGACAGCGTTTCACACTGAAATTAAACTGTGATCAGATTCCTTCCTCATGGAATTAAATTTGAAGATCATTCTACCATGGAAAAGTATCACCCACAATGTAAGACAGCAGATGGAGACACTCCAATTTATTTGGGAACCCTCATTAACCGTTCGAAAATCGTTACATTTTTAATGGTTATGGTACTTTACATACTCTATCAATAGATGTACAAATTAAGTAAAGGTGACTGCAACATTATCTTTTCAGATATTTTACTGTATGGAGCGTTTAATGAGTTTTTCATTTGTTTGATAGATACTGACTTGGAACATACACATGAAATGCAATGTTGCATACACACATCTGTACTAGAAATGTAGGTATCAACTCTCCTGCAAATCTGTGTTTTCACAGCCCTCCATCCATCTAATGTGTCCTTTCTACAGATTCCAATACTTTATTCCAAATATTATTTAACGAGCGTCTGATTCTTTGCTCATCGTAAAGCAGAAATGACACTCCTGCTGCAGTCACTAGAGATTTACCACCGTAAAATTCAAGATCAGAACTGCATCCTTTTTGTAACTCTTTGTTTTAAGGATGCAGCCTGCCTAGCACCCCGCACAGCCCTTCGCAGCAGCAACACGTGCCTAAAGGACAGCAGAAGGGACGGCACGAGGAAAAGCACCATCTCATCCAGCCATCCAACAGAGACGTACAATTGAGGCTATCTATAAATACACGGTCTTTGCATGTTTTGATTAGATTTGCGTCTGGTGCATTTGCACAGATTAATCTGTTCTGTAAAATGAGACCAACCAAGAGAAATATCATTTTTATCCCTCAGTTTGTAACTGCTCACATGTAGCCACCCCCTCGATACTCGATATGAACCATCCCGAAAGGAAATGAAACAAATATAAAATTGCTTATAGCAGAACTGCTGGTCAGTGCTTAACAGTTAATATTCACTCCTCTCTCTCCTCAGCCTCTTTTTTTTTTTTTTTAATATCTTCAAGGTTTTACCATGACTTAATCCCATCTCTAGTCAGAAGCCCATAAAAGAAGTATTTCATAACTCAGGGATGTTTATGACACCCCTGTATGCACATGCTGATGGATTCCATCACACGCTCTTTGATGTTTTTACTGTATCTTTGCTGAGCGCTGCTACGAGCCATTTACCAATTCATAAGTGAGGTATCAAATTGTTTTGGAGGGCTGCAGTACGACAGAACAAATTATAGAGAAGACTTAATTTGTATTATGGTTCAATACAGTCAATTAAATATTGCACAGATTAGAAAGTAATTTAACATTTAAGCCTCAGTTGTTAAAAAAATCCACTGTACACAGCCTCCAAATTATTTTAGGTCTCCTGTGACTTTAGTCACTGTTGCAAACGTTGAGGATTTCAAACGCAAGCACAGAAAAAGTCTCAAACTGGATAACTAAGCAAGTCCCGTGATGCACGAATCCTTCTTTTTAGATTGAACATGATGTCACGATTATATTTTTGTTCATATGCTAGAAAGTTTGTTCCTAGTGTTAAAGAAGTCCAAAACACCCATCTCCACCAAGGCTGCTGTCTTCCCTCTTCCCCTTGAGTTTGCTCCGGTCTCTCCCACCAGCCATTTTCTCTCCTTTTCTCCATTCTATCCCCTGCTTCTCCTCTTCCCCCAGGTTGCTCCCTGTACATCACATTGAATTGATTTAGCTGCCTCTGAGATCTGTAGCATTTTCTAATTTCCCTCAGGCTTCTTGGCACCTATCATAAATTTTTTCACCCCTTATCCTCATCTTGCCCCTTTATTTCCATGCTGTAGCCTCCAGTGCCACTAAATCAATTAAGTCAATCAATTAAGTACTTGGAGGGTCCAGCAATCATGTCAAATATGTGAGTTAGATGGCATGAGAAAGTCACTGCTTTACTATCGCTATTTCTCTTTTAATGAGGTTGTCTATTTTGTGGAGCCTGGGGCACAGTGTTAAGAGCCACAACAAAAAATATCCCGTGAGCTGCGAAGCCTCCTATAAAAGCTGCCCCACCGAAAGGAGGAAGCATGTACCATACAATATTGTATCTACATGGACAAGTTGCACAGGGATTTAAGTTACACAGCCTTTCACCTCAAATAACTAAACGGGGAGCTTGTTTTCAGATAGGTGGTATTGGCTGACAGCTCCGCTGTTATGATTTCCACGCTTGCGATACCGGGATGTGGGTGACAGACGTGGCCCAAGCACCTTCTGCATTTCTATTTCTGTCTGTTCACTTCTATCACATGGCAATAAGCAATAATAGATTTTGCGTGTCACATAAAGCTCCCCAAACATCAAAGTTACTCACCAAACTGCAAAATCCCTAATGGATTCATAATAAAATAACTTTATGGACTATCGTTTCGGTCATGCTGCTGTCTACCTGCAAGTCCCCCGTACTCCGACTCGTGATTGCTCAGCAGCACAACAGGAAATCAGGCCCTGTATGTTGAGGAAGACTACGGAACAAATCGTAGAAACGGAACTTAACGTGGAAAATTACGGCAACGCCTTAACAAGCAGCTTAGCAAGCCAGGAGTGCAGGAGTTACTGCAACACATTAAGTGAAAACAATGAATTGTAAAACACGTGAATGGTTCTGAGATGAATTTGGTCTCATTGCTGCGAGAAAGGCAGGAGCGGTACAGATGTGTGGGCAGCTCCTCCACCTCGGAGGCTGCTGTGTTCGTTAGCGGTGCTCGACACGTGTACTACGGTACTTTGGCAAATGCTCTTCATGGCCATTTTGTTACAATTCCTCTTTGGTTTAGCTGAGATTTGCAGGCATCATGGGGTCACAAGCATTTCCCAAATTGCTGCAATGCTTCTCTGCTGTTTCATTAAAATGCACTTCGTAGAGGTGGCGTGGAGCTGCTCATGTCCATCATAAACACCCCACAGCCCAAATACACACTTCAGGAGCAGACGTGAAACACCTGAATTCTCTACAGCTGCAGAGTCAAAGCCCAGACCTGTCTAGTTTCATATCTTTCAGGCAAGGATGGAGAGCAGTCCCCTGTATGTAGACACCTGAAAAAAAAACCCCAACGCCTAAAACCCCCATGCTGGGATGGAGCTTTCCCCAGTACCCACTGATGGTGCATGGATACCTGTCAAGCAGTTGTGAACCTTTCAACTTCCTCTCCCCCTTGAGAGAAGTGTGTTTCAATGGGACTGTGTACACACAATTTTGGAAAAAAGTCAACGATCTCAAATGTCAGTGAAATGGAAAATGAATCGTATTTGCACCACAAACTTTCCCGTGCTTCTAGTTTCCTATCTTTCAGGCAAGCATGGAGAGCAGTCCCCTGTATGTAGACACCTAAAAAAAAAACCCCAAACGCCTAAAACCCCCATGCTGGGATGGAGCTTTCCCCGGTACCCACTGATGGTGCATGGATACCTGTCAAGCAG